TCACCAAACTCAATAGCTGTTATTCTATGAAAAATATTTTTAATGATCTTAAATTATGATATAAAATCTCATTATAAAACCATATTATTGCTATTATTTTTATTATTATTAAAAATTATGATTAAAATTTTAATATTTTAGTTAATACCATAAATCATTAGATAAAAATAGAAAAACAAAGCATACAATATGATGTTATGTTAAAAAACAATTACAAATCACAATAGTCTAAAGGAATTTAGAAGTGATCAAATATTTTAAATAAAAAAAATAAGATATAAAATACTTTTACATCTTATTTAAATCTTATTCAATACTTTCTTATAAATTAAATTCTTATAACTTTTTAGCAGATATGTATACAAAATTAAAGAGGAATTTAAAAATATAAAAACTAATTTAAACTTTTTATAGTTGTTTTAAAAAATAACTTATTTAAAAGTTTAAATTTTTTTAATTATTATTTTTACTATCAATTAATTAATTTCTACTCAGTGTAGTTAAGGCAGTTTTAAAATATTATAGTCTGTATGATATTTTGACTCCAAAACGGTGTTCTTTAACTTCACTATTAGGGCTAGTAAAAAGTTTTTGAAAATTATATATAAAAAAGAAAAGTTTCTTTAAATATTAAAAAAACAGGAAGCACAATTATAACATCTAAAGTTCTTCTTTGGACATAATACGCTGATAAAATCATGCTAATTCCAAATAAAAGAATTTGAATAATTTGTAAATTGCCTTAACTACACCCAGAAATTCAAAATATTTAAATTTTTAAATAAATGATTCCTTAAAGTTTAAAATTTTTTATTTATAATCTTTAAATTACCTGGTGTCTAAACAAACAATAATTAAAAATATGTAAGTTTTGACTGGTATTATTTTTGCAGTAGTAAATTTATTATTATTATTTTTTTTATTAATTTTGATAAATTGAGCATTTCATTAAAACAGTGTTAATAAATAAAAAAGGAGTGTGAAGCTGGCCAAAAGATAGAACCTGTTTACCATTTACATGAGTGAGCATGAGTTTTATTGTGTTGGACTTTTTAAAATCTCGATTTTTAAACAGTCTAACTTTTTAAAATCTTTAAAAGGTTAGACTTTAAAAAAATCTTCAAAAAGTCTAACTTTTTAAAGATCAAGACTTATTTCTCTTTGTTTTAAAAAGTTAGACTTGATTATATTATGTTAGACTTTTTCTTGGTCTTGTAGAACCTTACAAAGTCTTTGTCTTGGGTTGATTTTTTTGATGTCTTGGTCTTAAAGCATGCAGTTTTGGTCTTAGTCTTGGTCTCGGTCCTGTCTTGACTACATCTCTGTGTGTATATATATATATATATATATATATATATATATATATATATATATATATATATATATTATGTATGTTAGGGTGTACTTTCAAACAAGATCTGTCCCAAAAAGAAGCAAAATTGTGTAAAAATTTCAAAAATAATCATCATTTTATAAAAAATATTAAAAAAACGAAAATGTCATAAATTGATTGAAAATAAAAAAGTCTATAATCTGTTGAAAACAATTTAGGTCTTAGTAGGTTATCTGAAAATTAGTTTCACTTTTTAGTAGGTGTTATTTTTGTTGGGGTTTTCCATGTAAAAACCATGGGTTTTCCATGTTAAAACCATGGGTTTTCCATGTTAAAACCATGGGTTTTCCATGTTAAAACCATGGGTTTTCCATGTTAAAACCATGGGTTTTCCATGTAAAACCATGGGTTTTTCATGTAGAAACCATGGGTTTTCCATGTAAAAACCATGGGTTTTCCATGTAAAAACCATGGTTTTTCCATGGAAAGGTTTTCCAAATACCCATAAAAATTCCATGGTTTTTCAGCCAACTGTAATTGCAGAACCAGGTAATCGTTTTCACCCCAGTTGCATCATTGTCCATTTTACCAATCTAGACAATGCATCATACAATTAATATATACATACTAATTAATTTTCTTTATCTGCTAATTTATTTATACTAATAATTATTGTCTATTATAACTTACTTTATAATTACGCATCGACACACAATGTTTTGAATGTTCTATATAAATGTTGCCAAGTTTTGAGTAACATTTATATAGAAAAAAGTAGCAATGAATTTATCATTATTTATAAATAATAGGTGTAAGATTATTACCACTTTTTGCATGAGCTATCTGCATGGTTTACAACATCATCTATATTTCTAGTCAAACCTTTCTACTTATATTGTAGTAATATAAAAAAAAAAGATAAAGTTAAAATAAAAAGGTTTATGCACATATATAAATGTTACCTGTATGTTGGTAACATTTATATAGAACAATGCAGTAACAAATATAGTATTACTTATAAATTGTAATTTAAAAAAAGCTTACTTCTTCATCTGAGCTATCTGCATGATGCACAACATCATTTATATTGTAAGCCAAACCTGCCTGCTTCACATAGTTAAATATAAGCAAATAAAAGTACTAGTATTTTAATAAATAATAGTATATTATTTATTAACATTGATTTTACATGCTTACATTTTACTGTGAAATAAAATCTTGCGCATTCATTAACTTCCCTTTCTGATATTTTTAAAACATTGATGTTGTTTTCCATCTCTAACTAAGTTGTTCTTGGAACATCATTACAAGTTGAATCCCAAAGATTATGCTTATATCTTTTCTGGTTAATCAACTCAATTCACTATTTTAATTAGACAGCTTTTGAAATATTAAAAAGAATATTAAATGCATATAAAAACTGACGTTATAAATGATATTAATGATGAGCAACATATTTATATCACCAGTCTAATCACCTTATAATGTAGTAATTTAAATAAAATATTCAAGTAAACTATTACATTATTTGCATATTCTAATAAGTTTGCTATTTAATAGTAAAGAAAAAACATAATAAATATCCCTACTAGATCTGATCGCTAACTAAGTCTCAACTTGAAAGATTGCGTTAACAAAAAGACAAAAACAACTTAACAGAACTAAATAACTGAATAAAATATTTATCATAAAATAAAGTGTTTTAAAACTTAGTAAACATTTACAATACAATAAAGTGTTTTTACTTCAAACATTTTTATGCAAACTAAAGCCATTAGAAAAAAAATTAAAAGATAGTACTAGTTATCTTTTGTAGAATAGTTATCTAATCTAATCCAATACACTGCTTATCTAAGCTTATCCGATACACTGCTTATCTTATCTCATCCGATACACTGCTTTTCTAAGCTTATCTAATAAACTGGTTATCTAATATATAAAAACTAAAATATTTGTAGTAAACCAAGTTAAAATAAAAATCGAGCTGATTCACTTGACATACTTGCTATACTATTGCAAGTTATGCAAACTAAGTAAAGCAATTGGCAATAGCTAGAATAAGTTAAATATATGCATTTTATATTGCATCATAATATGATAATATCCAGAGATGTAAAGATTGTAAAGGCCAAGGCATTATGACTCAATACCAAAACCAAGACTAAGACCAAGACTCCAAGCTTCAAGACCAAGACAGTCAAATATGAATCTAGAGAAGTCTTGGGATCAAGGTTTTAGTCTCGAGACGAACATTCTAGCTATTGCCAATATGTCTAGTTTTTTATATCTGTATGTTTAGTTTAAATAATATTATGTGATGCATTATAAAAAACATAATTTATAAACTTATTAAATACAGAAAAATAGAAGAATGCAAAAACACCAGGTGAACTTAAAACAAATAAAATTAGGTGCTACTCCAAAAAAAAAGAAAAGTGCCTAAAAAATTATGATCTAAGTTAGCATTGCTTAAATTTCTATGCAGTTTTTCAAGTTTTCTAAAATCCTTTTTGGAAACTTGTTTGTTAATTTCAAGATTATCATTACTGCTTAAAATTGAATTAACAGTAATATTGATGGTTTCTCGAAGAGGAACATGAGTGTATTGGCTTGTGACATTGTAAGATACTAAGTATTTTCCATGAATGTTAGCTTGATTCACATCTATTTCTACTAATCAACATGAATTCGAAAACCAAAAAGCCATGAAAAACTACTTTACACTTATGTTGGTAATATATATGATCAAACCAAAAAGAGTTTAAACTCTATCATTAAAAAACATTGTAAACCTATAAACTTTCTGTTACCAATAAATTTGAGCTTAAAATTATGGAAAGTTTTTTTATTGAATGGAAAAATCCAGATATGAACAAACAGTTAAACCTTATAAAATATCACTTTTCACATATTAGTTATCATTTTATTAGTTGTTAACCTTTTGTTAAAAAATTTAATAACTTTTTTATTGTATTTTTTTGCTATTTCCTATTTTGTTGTAGTTAATAAAAAAAATTATCATTTATATTTTATTACTATAGAAAATTTGTATATAAATTTAATTTTTTTAACCCAGCTGAAGATGACTATAAAATAGTCGAAACATGTATTGTAATTTTTTTTGTTAAATAATGGTTTTTAATAATAAGTGAAAAAAATAGTCTTATTTCTTAATTATTTTATTTATATTGTGCAAAAAATAAATTTTGGAAACATATTAAAAGACATCACAATAAATGTAAAAAAGTTTTTTAAAATGATTTTAGAAAAATTGAAAAGTTGACTAATTTTGTTTGTTTTAAATTCACCTGGTGTTTCAAAATTGAATTCCTATTTTACATGTAAAAAACTACTGCAGAGTGCAATAGTTAAGGATAACGAAGAAAAGTTTCATCTTTGCAAGAAAATTTTGCTTTAGAAGAAAATTTAAGATAAACTGTATCTTCTATTGATTAGTTTATCTTAAAAAAAGGGTTGAAACACAATTGGAGAAAGGGAATATGTATATATATATATATATATATATATATATATATATATATATATATATATATATATATATATATATACATATTCCCTTTCTGTGTGTGTGTGTGTGTACTTTTTTTAATTATTTTTAAAATCAAGAAACTATTAAACAACTTAATTCCAGTTTTTTTAATTTTAGGTTTCATGGTGACGGCACTTTGCATTTTCCTGGAGATAGCAAATTTGTTGGGACTTGGAAGAATGGAAAATGTATCAAGGCAAATAATTAGTTTTTTAGTATTCTTGTAAGTTTGCAGGCTTTTCTATTAAGTATTTTTTGTTTTTATTCAACATTTTATAACAACATGGTTTTAATTTGTTGAAACATTTTTATTATTTTATACTTAATATTTTTGTTTCTGATAGTTTGTATTTTTGTAGTTTTCTTTTACATATATAATAAAAAAGCTTAAAAATCAGTCTACACAAGTTGCTAGGCAAAAAAATTGTATTGGGGGATATTTATTTTATGATTAGCTGTAAGCTTTCATAATAATTATTTTTTGTAAGTCACCTTTATTTAACAACATTGTAAGTTGAAAAAGTTTAAGGTTTGCTCTATCGATATCAATTATCTATTTTGTACGCAAAATTATCATGGAACTTTCATCAATATTGTTTGGATAAAAATCATATTTATGTTAATAATGACCAAAATGTTGAAAAGAAAGCAGTTTTTGTTATTGCATTAGAGCATTGTATCTCTAAATTTATCGGTGAAAGATATTTCAACAATATAAGCAACAATGTTAACTGTTAAAATTACTACTCACTAATGATTACATCATAAAGAGTTTTGACAATTTTGAAATAATAAAAAGTCATAATCAATACTTTTGAAGTAATAGTAATTATGACTTATAGTTGAGAAGTTACAATTGATATGTTACAAAGTTGTATGTATATTAGTTGAGAATAGAGTTTTTTTAAATTTTTTAAAAAACATAAATCTAAAGTATAAACATCCACATCACTGGTTCCCTGATTCCGTAATGCTAAAATTTATTACTTCTTAGCAGTAAATTATAACTAACCATTGAGAAGTAATAATTAAAGTAAAATAAAAAATAAATTCTTTTCAAACCCTTTAAATAATTAATCAATAAGTTTAGACATCACAAGAAAAAACACATATAAACTTTTGTTCTATACCATTCCTGTGTAATAAAAAATTATAACTAATAAAAATAATTTAAAAAAATGGTTGCTGGTTGTTTTGAGATCATATAATTAAAAATGTTGCAGAAAGGCTCAGGAGCACTCAAAAAAGCAAGCGAAGATAAGTTTTACCTGAGAAAGCTGTAGAGTTGTTAACTATTAGAATTGAAGATTTAGAAAAAGAAAATAAAGTTCTAAGAAATAATCATTATCAAATAAGTTTCGATAGCGAAACAAAAACGAATTACAGTGATTTGATTAAAACAAAATATAAATCACTGGATTTATGTTTTGTTTTAAACAAATCACTCCAAAATTTATTCTATAATCAAAATGAACCATTTAAATAGAATAATAAAGTTGACACAAATCAATATCCCTCCAAAAATGTAGACTTAGTTTAATGCTAAATGAATAAATAACAAATTATATCACCTAATCGATCTTCTTTCAAAAAATCTTAACATTGTTCTTATAACAGAAACTTGGTTGAATAAAAAAATACCAGACTCATTGTTAAATGGCAATCATTTTTAGGTATTTGATATGACCATAACAGCAAATGTGGCACACTCATATTTGTGTGCAGTAATATCCACTCAGTGCAAAGTCCCAGAAAAACTAAAATATACAGAAGTTACATGGTTGATCTGTTAGTCTTCTTCAAGGACCAAAAGGTTTGAATTTCATGCATCCACCACCCACCATGTACAGCCTGTATTTTAAAAACCAAAGCCTTTTGTAAGATAAATAATAGGATTACATTGACATGCAGTTCTACAAGTACAATAGCTGTTGACTTCAATATACCATTTATAAACAGGCCTATCTAAATTAGTTTTGGAAATTCTTTTCATAATCTTGTTGTAGAAACGTGCTCTGCAAATGCCTTAAGCCACCTTGTACCTGTTAACACACGGCATAACAAGCTTTTAGATCTAATGCTAACCAATTATAATAATATGTTTAATGTAGAAACTATTGCTAAATTCACAAGCACCTGTGACCACTATGATTCTTTTTAATACACAAAACCTTTCTTAATATAAATTGGTATATGCTAGACGAACAAAATCAAGATGTTGAATCATTCTGGCAAATATTTGTAATTATTTGATCTCATCTATTTTATTACACGAACCAGTACTATGCAATAAAAAGAACAATTTTCAACAAATAGCCATTCGAAAATCCAAAAAAAGTATTCTGTATAGAGTCTACAAAAGAATAGTTTATGTTTCTATTCATGTCAAATGCAAGATTTGTTGTCATTTATACAATACTGAAATGAATGAATGTTCTATTCTAAGAGAGAAAGATTTAGTTGATAAGCTAATATTGCCCAGTTTAATTTTTTCATAAAAGCAAAATCCAAATGTTGTTGTTCGGTTGCACCGCTACTCCGACTTAATGGTTCTTTCACTAATGATAGTAGTGAAAAATCACATTTTCTGAATAATTTTTCTGTTCAAAAACTTTGTTTTTGTTACAGATAACGATATTTCACCTGCCTTAGATTTGCAGACAAATCCAAAAAATATATATATCAAAAGTTTATGTAATTTTACTTGCATAGGGAGAATATTTGTTCAAAGACAATTTAGTCTACTCACCAGAAGACTGGGGATATTGTGAACCACATGACAGAAGATATTACACAGAAATCTGCGATGGACTTAAGCCAGCTGGTATTAGTTTTAAATTTTAAAAAAATTAAAGCTAATTGAATTATTTAATTAAAAACACGTTTATTTTGATTAATAATTCTATTTTATTATTGCTTTCTTTTATTTTTTGACATGCATTAAATTTTGTATCATATAAAATGTCTCAGGGTTATCTCAGTTAACAAATGAGATTCCAAGCAAAACAATACCTAAAGGTTGTTATGACTGTGGGGATGGTTTTTACAACCCAGAAATTCGTGTGGTTATAGATTATGATAATAAATTTTTAAGGAATGCTGGTAAGTCTTATACATCTTTAACATTTTCATTATTTAGTTTTTATGTTGTAAATCTAATTTTGTATTGTAAATAGTTTTATGCGATTAATTTTTTTTAGATGACGATGAACACAATTGGATAGTGAAGCATTGTCGGCGAGAATGGGATGAAAATACTGGATTTAAAGATAATTTGCGAGAACTTTAAAATTTTTTTTAGTACTCATTCTTTCGGCAATTTCGTTAGTTCAACAAAAGTTTTGATTTCTTAATCTCAGACTCGTACCAAAAGTGTAATTGGTGCAGCTCTTCATATAATTAAAAAATACTGGTGCCTATGTTTATGTTTAAGTAGATAGCCATGTTTAAGTAGATACCCATGTTTAAGTAGATAGCCATGTTTAAGTAGAGTTTTTTAAAAACACCATTACAATTAGTTAAATCGTAATTAGACTTTCAATCTAAAGTTGTGAATAATGTAAAAAAATTTCTCTAACCAAGTTTGATTTTATGAAAAATAAATTTATTTTCGTAGAAAAAATTCTACTGGTTTTGTTTATAATTTCATATATTTTATATTTTGTTTATATTTGAGCGGCCGTGGCGCAGTGGTTTATAAGCAGGAGATCCAGGTTCGAAACGAGCTTTGGACATATTTCGCGTCACGGTAAAGAAGGAGGCGTAAAATTCTTGGTTAAATGCACTTCAACGGTGCTCTCTGACAAGACCGTTAGGTCTTCTTGGGGCACCTAAATAACAAATAAATATAGAAAATATAAAAAAAAATTTAAATATGCATTATCTTTTTGTATATAAGCATTTTGCTACATAATAATTTGATTCCAATAAAGTAAGTTTGAAACTTTCGTTACACCACCATTACATCCCTATTATGAATGTACAAGTTGATGTATGTTCCTAGTTTTCAATCTCCGCCGTTAAGTATTAAACTCTCTTGCAACAGTATAATAGTAATTTTACCCTAAAAATAAATGCAGTTTGATTATTGAATCTCTTTTCCGTAACTTTCCGAATTTTGAGTAGCTGTGGCATAATGGTTCAAATTCTGGCTCAGAACCCTGAGGTCTCATGTTCGACGCCGGCTCTAGCTCAATATAAGACATTGGTAAGAAAGAAAGTGTGAACTTGCTTGTTAAATGTTTTTTTGCGGTGCTCGGTGATAAGCTCGTAAGGACTTCTGGGAGCACTTTATAAACTAATAAAAATGAATTTCAATCGAGTAATATATTTATTAAAAATCAACCACTACAAACAAAATATTACTTGATTAAATTTATCTTTTTCAATCTCCAAAATAAATCTCAAAAAGTCGCGGAGAAAACATAAGTAATAAAAGTCTATCTATATGTCTTTTCCTTGAGTTTTTCTTTTTGAAATTGTTTTATCTTAAAACTCATTATGTGCAGATAGAACAAGATAATTTTAATCTCGTAATATTTAACTTAAACTTGTATTACATGTTATAACATATAATACAAGTTTAAGCATTATACCGTAAGTATGATTTTGATAACCGCAACTAGTTCCGGGGCGCTTGGAGGTTACCTTTCTTATACAAAATCCTTCATTCAAGACCACACATTCATTTAGGTTTAAGTCCGGACTATCGCCCGGCCATTCCAAGACTTTTACGTAATTTTTCGCTAAAAAACTGTTCACAACCTTGGATTGGTGGCATTAAGCGCCGTCATGTATAAAAATTGTGGCTTTGTAAATTGCCACATGCAAATTCAACTTTTCTCTGAGTAATTCATGCTTATGCCCATTCATGGTTGTCCTAGGAGTTAAAAAAAACTCCTGGGATAACATGAGTTTTTTAAACCCTGGGTCAGCGGTACCTCCTGGGTCCCATATCATCTGAATTTTTCATGGTCGAAACAGTAAATTTTTCGGCAAGCCTTTTCCTAAAGGATCATGCTTTTTCCAAAAAACGAACTGTTGTAAACGAGATTCATCCAAAAATAGCACTTTTCTCCAGTCTTCCTCTGTCCAACGCTAGTGCTGTTTGGCAATTTCTAATTTTTATTTTTCATCAGAGGTATCAAACGTTGTTTATTAGCTGGCTTATATAACTTTGATTCGAATTCTTAGCTGAGGCGACGCGAAACTGTGCTGATATTAACATTAGTAACTTTTGTGAGGAGCTCGTTAAGGATTGTACAACGATGTGTTTCATAATGTTATTTAACCCAAAGCTTGTTTTGCGTAGCCAAGCAATTTTCTTATGATTACCATAAATTTCTTATTGAATTTCTTTATAGCTCTTTGAACAGATAATCTACTGACACTATGTTGTGATCAAATTTGACGCCGTGATATTTCTTATTGTGAAGTGCAACAATTTGAGTACGTTTTACTAAAATAGAAAATCTAAAAGGTACACAAAATCAAAGCTAGAAACCCTAATCAGACATGGAATGTGGCATAAAAAAAAGTTGAAATTTCTTTTGGGGAAGAGTGAACACACTAATTGATTACACTTTTGCATTAAGATAAACGAGGCTAAACAAATAAATGATTAATTAAAGTGTATATAAATAAACTGTGTTTGCTTTCTATCTAAAATTTTTAAAACAAAAATAACTCTTACATTTTTCTTTTTTTTTTTTTTTTAGGTTTTTGAGATGCTCTTAAAAGTCCCTCACAAACTTATAACAAAGCACCGTGAAAAAGTATTTAACTAGGAAGTTTACGCCTCCTTCCTTACTAATGTTACTTATTGAGCTAGAACCGGCTGTCGATCCTTGGACCACTTGATTTAATCACTGCACCGCGGCTTAACTTGTATTTGTAGAGCACAATTAACCTTTAATGTAAAGCACTTGCAAATTGCAGAGCAAAACCAAAAAAGGCAAAATATCAATGAGCAAAGTTTAAGAAGCATACGTCATACCAAAAGTAACTTTTTACAAAAGTGTGAACAATAAAATTCACCCAAACAGATTACTATATAGATTAAAAAACTGTGTTAAGTATAGCGTTTGAATTTGTTTTTGTTTCAGTGCTTATCAATTTAGCCAACTAGAGATTTAGAACATACGCAAATTTCACCGCAGGAGTTGAACGTATTTAGTATTTTTTTAAAAAAGCCGGACGAAAACGGCATTAAAGATTTACAAAAAAAAGAGGAGCCATAAAGTAGACTTCAAAAACCGGCTTAAAATGCTAACGGCGGAAATTTTACTCTAGGAATTTTTACAATCGTAAATTTAGAGTCGTAAAGTATTTTTTAATTCAATGTTATAAAACTTTTCCACATCAAATTTTGCTGATATTTATGCTCTGAATTTATTTTTAGAAATCTATTGTCCGCATCAATAACATTCTTAAGACTTTGTTAAAAACAAAGTGTTTTTGAGTTGAAATTTCAAAAACAAACTGAAGTTTAAATCCAGTTTTCTCAGGAACTTGAACTATTCCGATTCTGATATAGAGTATTTTGTTTTTTCAGAATATTTGGCAAATCAAAGACAACCACGAGAAGTAAAACTGTTCAAACAGTATTTAAACTGTTAAGAATACAATTTAAAAATAAAAAAATGAAATTGTCATTAATTTTTTACCCTACCCCATAATATAATTTGTATAGTTTTTCTAAATAAAAATAACTTATAGTATTTTCTATAGGCATTTTAAAACAAACGGCCTAAAAAATAGAAGTTTCTTTAGACTACAAATTGCAATTCAATAAAATATTCTATAGACTTTTTGTAGTTGGAATTGTAAGACCATTTGTTTTAAAATTCTATAGAATATTGTGTTGATTTAAACTTAGAAAATCTAAACAAATTTTGTATATTTGTTGTTGGAAGAACAAATAGAAAAAATTGCATAAATAAACTTTTTTAAAAAATGACTTTAAATTTAAATAATTAAAAAAATTATTCCGAGACTCGTAATGTAAATTCTCGTAAAAAAATTTATTTAGACACAAATAAACATTTAAACATAAAACTCTTTTGATACTTTCTGACGAGAATTTCATATCACAATATGTTTTGACCTTCTTCCTTACCATAGACAATATGAGAAACCTTCGAAATAAGTTGTACATGATCTCTAAACACTTTTTGAATAAGAAGAAAAATCTTTGATGTTATTTGTTGTTGGTTTATCTGACTTAATAAAAAATATTTGAGGTTATACCATACTTGAGCATCAAGGTAATTTCTAGAACTTTATTAATTCTGTTTATAGTTTTACTCCTTATTTTACTATTTCGAATCTCAAATAACCTCTGCATAAATTTTAAATGGATATATATTTTTTTGCCTGTCTATTTGATTTTGTATAAAGTTGATCTGTTTTTAAAATCAATATGCAGTCCTGATAAATCAAGCATAAGTGCATTTTTCCATCCAATAGAACTTCCTATATCGTTTCTAATTAGCTCAATTAAAAACTTTGGAAATTTTCAAAAAATTTAAATTCCTGATGGTTTTCTTTTTCTAATTTTCATGTATAAAACTAATGATAATACAATACCAAATATCTTCAAACCATTATTTAATAAAATTTAACACAAATACATGACTAAATATTAAAATAACAACTTTGTTCAACCCAAAATTTTATATGAGTCCACCAAATTCACTATTAGAGGACCTAATGTATGGAATAAGATAATTAGTAATGATATTAAAACACTTACAACTCTTGAACAGTTTAAACAAAAGCTAAAACTATTACTTTTAAATAATGTGCAAAAAGAAAATTATTTTTAAAACTATCTATGAAAATATTATATTTGAAAATTATCTATAAGTGCATACATTGTTTGTCTGGAAAGGTCTAAAGTTTTTAATAATATACATTATAGTAAACTATATTATAAAAAAGTAATTATATATATTTACAGTATTTATAGATTTTAATAATAATAATTTAAATTTACTCTTTTTTTTTTTAAATGAGAGAGAGAAAAAAAAAAAAAAAAATCTACTTTGAGTTTAAAATTTTCTTATTTTTGATATTATTTTATTTTAATTTATTTTTGTTGAATAAATATCTTCGATATTGAACTTGTGCTTTGAAATTTGAATATATAGTTTTGCATGACCGTTAGTTAACCTGAAGGTTAACTACCGGTCATGCAATATTATATATAATCAAATTTCATGTTATTATGATTAAATAACTTTTATTAAAAATAACTTTGAAAGTCTCTATTAAATTATTTTGCATTTCATATAAACTTTCTTGAAATATTTTGCCTTTTTCTTTCATTTTTAATTCTTACTTTTTGTTGCAAGGTATTTATATAAATGTCTAGAAAAAACAACGGACTTGGTGTTAAGGTAAACCTGATAGCAAGGACTAGAAGAATCTCGTCCTTGCTATCTTTATATATTTTATAAAACACGGAACTTGTAATTATATTTTTAGGCTCAATAAATTAAAAAAAAAAAGAAAAATGCAATTTCTTCTATCACGTCAATTTTTAAATATATTTGGGTTCCAATCTTTAGCACTTGGAGTAAAACCTATGATATTGTCAACGAAAATTATTAAAAGTATTCCAAACTAGGCCTCAAAAAGAAGAGCATTTTTATTGAAATTTTAAAAATAATATTCGTTTGGAACAAAAGTAAATATTTTTTATATTATTGCTGAGAGACATTTTGTTAAAATGTTTTTTAAACAAATACCAAAAAATTTTGGTATAATTTACAAAGCTAAGCAGTTATTAAATCAATCATGTTTAAAAAACATTTCTTTAATTCATTGCTACTTAAGTTATGCAAACATTGCTTGGTGCAGCACTAACGCAACGAAAATAAAAAAATTGCTTAGCTAACAAAAACAGGCTATAAAGATAGTTTCAAACGTAGATCGTTTCTCACACACAAAAACACTGTTTAATGAACTCAATATCCTAAAAATATATAAATTAAACTTCTATTATGTTCTTGTTTTCATATTTAAACTTGATAAAAATATATTACCAATCTTATTTTATTCAATTTTTGAAAAAATAAATCACATATACCGTACTAGATTTTCAAAATACAATTACATTCAATCAAACTTATTATTCCGCTACTAAATTCTCTATTGTAAATCGAGGACTAAAGTTGTGGAACATAATATTAAATAGTGAACTGAAAACTAATTATTTTCTTAACCAATTCAAAACAACACTTAAGCAATTACTTCTAATAAAGCTTCTTCAAATTAGAAATCAATAATAATAGTTAATTAATTAATTACTGTAGATTAGTAATACATAACTAATCAACATATTTACTTGTATTTTATTATTTTTAAATGATTATCTTCTTTTTGAGAAATTTATTTTTATTTTTGCGTTGTTTATTAATCCTTTACTTTTACTTTTTACTGTTTATTTGCTTTTACTGAATTGGCAATAAAAAGTATGATAAATTTAACTAAATAAGTTAAACTATAAATTGCTCTAACGATAAAATGTGCTTTATATAAAATCATATTTTCTTATTTTTACAAACCAATTCTTAAATGTTATTTTTTTCATTTTAATATTTTATTAAATTGTGTTTCTTTTATTTTACAAAACAATCCTTAAATCTCATTCTTTGAAAAACTATAAATTTTAAACACTATGCAATATATTTACTTTTTCTTTTATAATATTAATTCAGAGATATATATATTGAAACAATATTTTTTTGTTAAACTATATTTTATCTAGTAATGACACATTTTTTAGGGCATGGTGATAAGACTAAATTTGTCTTCTTCTAGCCCCGGTCATGTAATACAACTGTTACGACTGTAAATTTTTTTTCTTGTCAAAAAAAAACAACAAATAAAACAAATAAAATTCACTTAAAATTCACTCCCGTTTAGCAATCATGACTATGCAGCTCCAAAAACTACTGACCATGATGTTTTTGGCGATGAAGCTGATAACAATAGTACTAATTCTCAGACCCAAGAAGTAAAAAACCATTATGCAAAACATCCAGAAAAACTTATTGCAAATAAAAATTCCAATGCACCAAAAAAGTTGGTTAGAGTTTTTGATTTAAACCATTACCTAAAGCGAAAGAATGTGAGAAAAAACGAAAAAGCAAAAAAATGAGCCCAAGTATTCTTACAAGTACACCCTTCAAAAAACTGTTTGAACAAAAATAAATGCAGAAAGAAGAACAAGGAAATTTAAAAAAACAAAAAAAAGAAGCTCATGAAGCTAAAAAGAGTGTAAATAAACTCAAGCTAAGTTCCTGTGAGCCTTAAGTTTATAAAATCTAGGACAAACAATCTAGTTGCATCAATTTCAAAAGAAGATGCTATAAAATGTCCTGCTTGTGAAAAGGAATATTGTGATCCTCCGACAGAAGAATGGATTCAGTGCTGTAAATTTTAAGAGTGGTGGCATTAGGAATGTTCCAATTATGAAAACAGTATTTTTATTTGTGACTATTGTTAGCAGTACAATTAAATACTTCAATATTACATTGCATTACGTTTAGTTTGATTGTTTGTAAGATTTTAACACAGTTATCATTTGTTAAACCATGTAAAATACTCAAAAGATAAAATATGTTTAACCATTTTTAGTGTCATTACCTTCCCTCAAGCTCGAAGTTATTTTTCACCAGTACTGGGGCAAGATGATAATTTGGAGGGCCGCCGAGAAAGGGGAAGGGCAACAGGGCAGTTTGTCCCGAGCGGCAGATATCTAAGGGGCGCCAGATAAAATGTAGGTATCTAAAAAAAAAAAAAGATATATAATATAGGAAAAATTAGATAAACACGAGCGCTGTCACAGGCGGCGTGATAGCTCTCGGCGACCCGAGAAACAAAATTATCTTTTATTTTTTTATTTGATTAAGTAAAAATTAGTATATCACAAAGGACTCTAACATTAACATGTAAAATTATGTTTTACAATCCTTGAAAATAAATTAATAAGCAACAAAAATTGTTAACATAGTCATCTTACCCCGGTCTTCATACTTGAGCCAAGCCATTTATTTTGATGAGCATTAAAGTCGCTAATAACTATCATATAGGCTGAAGTAAAAAAAAACTTGATCAATTCGATTAGAAACAATGCAAAAACAAATATAAAATGGCGTTGTTAATAACCCTTTTATTTACAGCTGTTGAATCAGCCTTCTGAAAGTTAAAACAGAATTTGAAAAACCTTGCTACTAGTTGGACTTAGAACTATTAAACTGAGTTTTAGAGCTGTATCATAACTAGGAGATAACAACGAAAACTGTTTAGCTATTACCAAGAATACTACAAAGTAGGAGTGCGATTTGTGTCGACAGAACTTTTCTGCTTAGCCCTAAAATATTTGCCTAGGAAATATTCTAGAAAACAATAGCCGGATGCAGTTAATATCTGGCTAAGATGAGTATTTGTATTAAAGCACCTTATATATATTGCTATCTATCTATCTATCTATCTATCTATCTATCTATCTATCTCTCTCTCTCTCTCTCTCTCTCTCTCTCTCTCTATATATATATATATATATATATATATATATATATATATATATATATATATATATATATATATATATATATATATATATATATATATATATATATATATATATATATATATATATATATATATATATATATATATATATATATATATATATATATATATATATATATATATATATATATATATATATATATATATATATATATATATATATATATATATATATATATATATATATATATATATATATATATATTACATGAATAAATTAAACGTGGCTATCACTTGCCATACGAATACGAGCTTACTTTAAATCAATTAAAAAAATGTTTTGATTGATTTTTTAAACAAATTTTAATCAGAAAAATATTTTTATAAAAAACATTATTCCTAGTATTAAAAAAAAATTCAACATACTTATTTGAATTTTTAGACTTTTTGTAAACTAACATATGTACAAAAACATGTTCTTTTTTAGTTATTATTCATTAGATTTTTATGTAGTATCAGTTTTCACAAAACGACAGATGTGCAATACTTAGACGGATCAAATACAACTTTGAAAATAATGTTTGAAAACTTAGAACTCTCTACAAATTAGTATTATAAAAAAAGAAGTTAAATTTTCATTAAATTATTAAAAAAAGAACATAACATTTTCCGAATCATGAACATCGACTAGAACCTGAAAATCCTGCTTTTTTATAAGGATTTAATACAAAAAAGAATACCCACTAGAAATGAAAACATTTATCAGCTGATGTTTATGAAATAAAACTATGCATTTTTATGTTTGCTTATCACCGCTTAAGAATATTTGCGTGTGTTGTATGGAAGATTATTAAAAAAAAAGATAAGATTCGTTTTGGATGTAATTTTATCATTCAAGTTTATGGCTTATTTGAAGCAAGAATTGTCGAAAGAAGCTTGTACGCTTAAGTGTAGCTTTTACACTTAAGTGTATTTATTCTGCGAGGTCAGTCTTGCTTTATATTAGTATTGTGTTGATTGAGATGCTGATTAAATAAAAAGGAAAGCAAAACATACTCGTTTTTTATTCGTCAGGTCGTACATATGGGGCGTCAGGTTATACATGACGTAGTTATTGATCATTTGAATTTTTTAACAAAACAAGAAATTGTTCCTTCTACTCCTAAATTTTTTTTAATGCATTTTTAAAGCACCGTGTTTTTTTTTATTATTAAATAAAAAGTTGATATTGTTTCCTTACCAAATTATTTTGTCATTAAATTTTTTTAATGTATTTTATACTGTACTGGACAGTTTGTTATTTTTTTCTTTTCAGCAATGTAAAATGATAAAAATTGCGAACCATGGAATAAGCAGAAAAATATTTAACCGATTCATTTTTACAGATATTCCTCAGCACAAACTTAAAGCTCCTGTCACTCAAATAAAAAATCGACCCTATTTGCCTGGATCTTTGAGCAATGCGTTCCCCGATGTTTTAAAATGTGAATATAAACCAGGTTTAAAAATTCTCACAACATCAGAAAAAGACTTGCAGTCAATAGCGTCAGAACTTCGAAACTTTTCAACTCTTTGTATGCCTGAAATAAGCGCAATTCTTCTAAAGAATTTACCAATAAATACTGCTGAAGAATTTTCGCTCTTTACTAAAGCTCTTAATTTTAAACCGCTTACATACGCAGGTGGAAGTGGTTTTCGAAAAACTATAGCTGGAGATGTTTATTCTGCAAGTGATGATCCTTCTATTTATTCAATTGAGCCCCACAATGAAATGTCATACATGACCATTTATCCAACGAAGGTATTTAACTAAAGTTAAGTTCAACCTACTCATTTTAGACAATACATTTGATTTTCAGAATTTTTTCGCAACTTTAACTTTGGCTTACTATAATAATATGACGTAATGTATTATCTTTTATACATTTTTTTTTTCAAACTTTTTGCTAATAACCTTGTATAATTATAATTTCTTAGATTATGTTTTGCTGTCTTTCTGAAGCTACAATAGGTGGAGAATCACCCATTGTGTTTAATCGAGAGTTATTTTCAGTTTTGAAAGTAGACAATGTCAGAAAAGCAGTGGAAAAGAAAATTCGTTATTTTCGCAATTTACCACACAAAAATAATACAAAGTACATAAATTGGCAAGGGACCTTTTTAGTTGATTCTGTCAAGGTATTTTTCTGTTTTTAATATTACTAATTATTTTTGAAGTTTTTGAAATGCGTTTGGACTTTTCAACATTCAGCTTGTTAATTTAACTTTTTATTTTATTTGCTAAGGATAAGTAACAGAAAAAGCATACAACATTTCTTGAGGAAATAATCAAACTAGCTTGTGTGTGTTTGTATGTGGGTGTAAGTGTCTATATAGGGTGGATTCGCTAATTTTACTGTTTCCTGTTATCACCACATACAGTCAATTCAAAAAAGACAAAGCAACTTGAACTTTTTTTCAGTTATTGTCATCGCATATGAATGAAAAAATTTTGGATGCCCAAGTATCCAAGTGAATCATAAGTAGTGACCCCTAAAAAAACATATATACTTGAATATATATATATATATATATATATATATATATATATATATATATATATATATATATATATATATATATTACTGAAATATTTGTAATTTACTTAATCGTATATCCTAGTGGTCTTAGACCTCTCAACCTTTCTAAAGTGTATTTAAAACTTCCTCCTTTAACTATGAGGCTAATAAAAAGAAAATTTATTTACTGTTATTTAGTTCCTGATATTATTTTTATTTATTAAATAATAACTTTATAACAGAAATTTTTGATAAATGTGTAAATAGGCTGAAGCGAGCGGAATAAAAAAGATTTTTATTCCGCTTGCTTTTTTTTAATTTGAAACACGATTTCTATAGGTTTAAATTAGTATTTGAACCTATAGAAATCGTGTTTCAAATTAAAAAAAAGTTGAAATGAAAAAGTTTCAAATTGAAGTTGCTGAACAGAACTTTTTTTCTAATAAAAATGATCAAAATTTATTAACAAACAATTCGAAAATAATATGCAAAAAATTCAGATGAAAAGTATTTTTATAACAGCTTATCAAAGGTCTAATCCGCAAACATAACTCTTGTAACTTGAAATATCTTGTTTTTTGGTTTAACTGTCAATATGTGAGGAATTTTGTTATTTTTTGTAATTACATGATTTTTTTTACTTGTTGCTTTTTTTATGTTTGTTTTTTTTTTAACTTTTACCCAAATGCTTGAAAATCTGCTAAATTTATGAATATGGAAAACGGAAGAAAAAAAAATTAAACGAAATAAAACTGTTTATTTCGCAAACACCAAGAAAAACTAGAAGATGCGTATCAACTGAATGGCAAATAAAAAAAACTTAAATTTTTTGAGGAACCAATCATTAAGAATTTTTGTTCAGACGCTTATAAACATCTTAAATAAATCATAAACAAATACCTGTTTCAAAATAAACATATGTGATATCAATACAAAGTTAAATCAAAAAATTAACTCTATTTTATCTATCTTGTTTTTTTATCGCGCCTTAATAAACATTTTTACATGCTGCAAAAATACAACAAAATGTTTTATTAGGCTTTTTTTTTAAAACTTTAAGATCCCTGGATGTTTTTTTATTCTCATTTAACACCAACTCGATTTATCAAACAAATATAATCGTTCTCAGCTGAGTATTTATACAAGCCCACAAACCACGTCTCTTTTACTGCTCTATTAATATTTGTATAATATAGTTGGAGGCGATGTGCACTTTTGTTCTTCGGAAAACGACAAGTAACTAACTGTAAGATAACTCTAGTTGGCCATCAAATAATACTAAATGAAAAATGCAATCATCTGGGTTTCATGTGGGATACAAAAAAATCAATTTTTCTGTATCCCAAATCTTCAAGAAAACATTCCCAAATGATCTTTTTATTCCCTCTGGGGATTTTAAACTTTATTTTTATGTATTTTTACCCTGTAAAAATGTTTACAGAGGGTGTTAAATAAAATAATAATAATATAATAATTGTGGTAAAATTTTTATTATTATTGGTTATATTTTAGCTAAAAGTTACAGCAAATATTATAATTGCGGTAAAATTTCAATATTATTGGTTATATTTCAGCAAAAAATTGAAGCAATTATTATAATATACATCAACAAAAGTATAAAATTATAATATATAACAAATATATTGATTTTCACCAGATAAAAGACATAAAATATTATCATTGCGGTAAAAGCTTTGATATTTTTAGTTTGGCAGTATATTTTTTCTGAAGCTTTCTAATTTTTTAATTCTAATTTATTTTCTATTAGGTTTTTTCGACAGCTTTTTTTTAATTTTTTGCTTCTACTTTTAATGGAGATGTAGACAAAAAATATTATTGTTTTTTGAATTATGCAGTCGGTGATATCTTTTGTAGATAGATTAGTTGTTAATGCTTTTTATAAACATGGAACACACACATTGTCGCATGAAAATTATAGGGTTCTATCTGCCTTGTTTTATGTTGAAAGAGTTTAGCAATCAAAGTTTTAAATAATAATAAATAATAAAAGTTTTTTTTTATTATTTATTATTATTTAAAACTTTGATTGCTAAACTCTTTCAACATAAAACAAGGCACTTAAAAAATGATATATTATATATCATTTTTTAAGTGCTTTATATAAAATACGTTAAATAATGAAATATATATAACATAAACAACTTATAATTTATAATTATAATGAATAACAGCTGTAAAACATGTATTAAATAAATATTGAAAGTTAAGTTCTCACAACATAAAAAAAGGCAGATAGAACCCTATAATTCTAATGTGACGACATGTAAAATGTTCCTTGAAAATTTCTTTCATAAATAACATAGCTGTTGTTCACATACATACTAATATTTCAATAATTTTGAAAGTGTTCTGAAGTGAAATTCTATTAAATAAAAGCTATTTACATTTACATTTTACTTGAAAGTTTTTTGCATACAATTTGCATATATACAGTAGAATCCCGTTAACTCGGACTCTGAACGGGTATATATATTTTAAATGGATGTATTTATTTTTATGGCATAAATCATTGTAAAAATCATCGTGAAAATCATCGTGAAAATCATCGTGAAAATCATAGTGAAAATGTGGCAAAAACTATTTATCGATGAATCGCTAACATATTATTCATGAAAATAAAAACTTTTGAGGTCAAGAGTTTTATTTTCATGGTCAGATCAGCCAAATTTATTTTAAAAATAAACTTGAATAATTTGGCCTGCAGGTTAATAACATGGTAATAGATTTTAGTGTCAGCCTGCTGGGTTAACATTTTTATATGTTATATATCAGGCTGTATACTTTGTAGTTTAAATATTATATTTTTAGATTGTGAAATTAAGTTTTTAACCACTCTGACAAGCAAGCTAATAGAATACCGATAAAATTTTGGGTCTACTTGTATACTTTTTTGTCTGTTATAAAAATTAAGGTAGGGTAAGGTAAGGGGTGAACTCGTCACGGAGCGAATCCGTCACTTATGCGACTCCGCTCTAAAATAATAATGCATAAAAACTAAAAAATCTATTTACAAGATTTTTTTTTTTTGAATTTTTTTTAACTGATATTTGTAGAATTTTATTAAATAGATTTTTTATATATTTTCCTTCGATTATTTTCTAAATATTGCGAGTAAACATTGAAGTTGAAAAAATATTTTTCTGCCTAAATGACTATCGTCAAAAATAATCAATTTAAGCAATGTCTTTTTTCAACAAAGTATATTTTTTCTGATTGCTCAATCCCAGCATTTTTTTAAAAAAATTTAAGTTACTATGTTTTTTCCTTTGGAATTGTCACGTAATAATTGTTAGTACACGCTCAAATGAGGGGCAACTTCGTTGTTAAAGAAAAGATAATAAAAATAAATTCCTTCATTACAAAAGTACATTGCAGTAAATGCGGATATATTGATCAAGAGATCTTTATTGACTTTTTACATCATTTTAATGATTTTTGTAAAAACAGGGATGGGAAAAAAAGTATTATTTTTGAATGCTCACAAAAGTGACTATTGAAGCAATTGAATTAGCAATAGAGGTAGATATTAAAATAACATGCGTTTCACCTCATAGTACACATCGCTTTCAAACACTTGACACACATATTAATTAGTTAAACATATGTCATCTGAGGCCTTGTCTAATTACTTAGCTGAAAATAATGATTTTCTTTGAGTCATTGCAGCTTTCACATTATTTTAATTAAAGAATGGCCCAACATACTTACAAAAGGAGGATTAATTGTTAATGCGTTTTACCATTGCAGTTTGCATCCCCTAAGAAATTCAGTAAAAAAACAAAAAAACAGAGGTATTTAATAAAATAACAATTCACCGGGGAGACCCAAATTTATCTATTTTAAGGACTATTGTACCTTCTCAAAAAAAAAGCAAATTTCCTCATTTTAAATGCCACATTTCTTTTACTACATCACCAGATAATTGAAGTTTATAAAGAAGTCTCCTGCAAAAAAGGCTGCAATAAAAAATGTGGTCAGCGTTAAACAGAAGTCAAAAAACGATCACGATAAATCAGTCAAAACAAAATCAAAGAAGACATTTTTTTGAGTTAATTCTGATCACTCAAGTTCATCTAGTAGTTTTATTCTTAACATAACACTGATAAAGACTTTTGTTGTGTATGTGCAGCTATTTTACAATCTGAGGGCATGTGAAGGATATTTTGAAGTTGATACATGTGCAAATTATTAATTTGCACGTGTATCAAATTATGTGCAGAGAACAAAAGTCTTGTAATTTTTTAAATAGTTGTGGTATAATTTCTGTTAATACTTTAACGTGGTATTTTGTGTGCTAATGCGGTTATACGGTTTTTATTTATGCCAAATTCATTATTTGATATTTTTTAGAAAAATTTTAACAACTGACGTCCTTTAGATGTTTTAAAAATTAGGAAACTGAAAACTAACTTTCGGTAATTCTATCTGCAGCTCTCTGTAGGCTATCAGTCGTTCTATCTACATCACTTAGAGGTTTACAATTCTACATGCGGCCATGGCGCAGTGGTTAGAGCGCTTGCAATATAAGCAGGAGATCCTGCGTCACGGTAAGGAAGGAGGCGTGAACTTCCTGGTTAAATGCACTTCCGCAGCGTTCTG